TCCTGCTTTATGCTTTTCCCCCTTCCTCTCAGAATACTAAACTTTACTGTATTGTGGTAACTTTGGCCAAAGCTGCCCCCAACCTTCATGTTCCTGACCAGTTGTTCTTTGTTTGTAGGTATGAGATCTAGCTGAGCATCTCCCCTCACAGCTCCTTGACAGACTTATCTGGGTACTACAGAAACCTCCTGGATTGCTTGTCTTCTGCTGTGTTGTCCCTCCAGCAGATCTTGGGGTGGTTCAAGGCCCCCAGAGAACAGGGCCCGTCCTATTCCTTTGTGATCAGGTGGTCCTGTAGCAGACACTCACCACAATGTCACCCATGTTGGTTTGACCCATGAGCTCTCAGCTGTGTCACCACTCATCCCAAGGCATCCACACCTTCCCACATAAAGGGCAGCTTGCCCTCCTCACTAGCTACTTGATGCTGTTGTGGGTCAGGTGTTTTGTTTTTGTTTTTGTATTTGTTTTTCCCATATACCCTGGTACAGAAACCTAAGCAGCTTGATACAGATTTTGTTGATGCTGATGGTGTGTATATTGGATTAAGTCATCCCTGTAGAAAGGCACTTGCTTCACTTTGGCAGTCCTCCCTGCGGGAAGGAACTTGTTTTGTTTTGGCAATGCTACACAACAGGACTTATCAGGGGGCTGTAAAATCATTTTCCTGTATCTTAAAACACTTTTCTTTTTTCACTTGGATAACAACCATCAAAGAAAACAACATTACGTACCTCAACCTCAGTTAAGCCCTCCATTAGATACTTCATGTGTTTATAGGGAATGGAGAGGGAACCCAAACCACTTACAGGCAAGCCGTACTCTTTGTTAAAAAACATCCCAGGACAGACAGTTCAATCTGCTCCTGCAAATCTCAAGTAGGAAAATAACCCATTATGGATTTTAGTGTTTTCCAATTGCTTTTAATGTTTGCTAACAGGATGAGCTGTTAAAATGGGTGGGGGCAAAAGACGAGGCCTTGAAGCAGTGTCAGTGCAGCCTTTCTTCCTGAATGCCCATTTGCTTTTTAATCTTGTTTCCCTTTATACTTTGTTTTGGCAAAATTCCCATGGCTTAAACTATGAGCAGTGAGATGGACCTGTGCTCTCTGAGGTCTATCCAGCCTTTGAAGCACAGCAATAATAACTAATGAATAAAGGCTGGGGAAGCCAAGAGCTCTCCTGCCTCCAAGGGGGACCAGGATCACTTTCCTTGAAAATGAAAGCAAAAGCAGCAAAGTGCTCAGTGTGGGATGGGGAGGGAGGGCTTAAGGGTTGACAAAAGGAAGATTTTGTTCAGTTAAGGGTTTTCATAATTATTTCCTTACATGAAGAGCAGTAACCACTGTGTGTATCTTGCAGCTAAACTTGCCTGTGGTTTGGTGACACGTGGAGGTGACCACAGGCCCTGCCAGGAGCTCTGGTAGCGCTGCTGCTGCTGGCACCTCCCTGCTGCTCAGGCTCATGTGCCTGTTTGTTTTTTGTTTGTGTTTTTTTTTTTTTTGTTTTTTTGTTTTTTTTTTTTTTTCCAAGTTTTCAGCCAGATCAAGGCCATCACAAGCTCTTTGTTTAGTTGGAAAGGGCCTGCTAAGACACTGTGGGGTGGTGGCCCACATTTACATGGGTTTGGGATGCTCATGGACCTGAGCCCTGGGCAGGCTTCTGTGACTTAGAAGCATAGGCTGGCATTTTGGGGAGAAAGCTGTGAATCGCTCATGTGCTTTTGGCTCCTTTGCAGCCCTGGCTGCTGTCACCAAGTCCAGGGACAACCTTGCAGAAAGGTCAGATCAGCCCAAGACCCAGCTGAACCGTAAATCAGAAAAATCCCTCCAGGGCTTGTCTCATTCTTCAGAATCTCTGTCTTCTAAAAATGAAATCAAACTATTGCCTGTCCTTCCATGGTGAAGGTCATTCTCGGTTGTCAGACTTTGGTGTTCTGAAGCTCTGGTAGTCAAGTTCAAAGCAGAGATAATAATGGAAGACCACACAGGCTGCCTAAACAGTCCAGGAAAATATGCAGCTGTAACAGCAAAGCAGTTACTTCAGTGGCTCGTGATTTTAATTTCTGTATTTTATGTGTCAAGGGTTTATTCTGAGGATTGCACTTGGAATAATAGTAGGAGTTTGGTTTTTTCCTTGTCAGATCCTGCTCCTGTTACATTCAACATGCTCGTTTCCTGCAGCCAGCTGTTATCCACCCACCTAGATGGAGACAAGGTGGATGATTTAATTGTGTAGCACTTTTAATTTTTTTTTTTTTTTTCCCCTCCATCTTGTTGATGAAGCAAGCATATGGCTTCCAGCACCTGTCCTGGGGCCTTTCCTACTGCCATAATAGCTGTGGAAGTCCAAAATAAAAGAAACACCCTACAGAGTAGGTTTCTGAGCTAGATGAAAGACTTCTGTTTAAAGAGAAGACTAGCTGTAACTTCTTTAACTAGCAGTCACTTCTAAAATCCCTTATCTACTTTTTTTTTTTTTTCTTCTCATTTTTTTTTGATATTCATTATCCCATAAAGATTCCAACAGCAACTAGTGTAAATAGCTGGCAGGTAGAATGAGCCAGACCTTCACCTCCAAGCTACAGCATGTTTCTCTCTTTTTAATTTAAATTTTGTGATTTTTGAAAGCAGCCAAAACATCACACCCTTCCACTATGGGTTAATTACAAGGTTGGGCTCATCAAGCTTTCACTAGGGAGGAACAGAGTGAGAAGTTGATGTAGCTGATGGGAGTTGTACACTGCTGCCTGGCAAATGGCCGCCGCCTCACTGTCAGAGACTCACAGAAGGGTTTGGGTTGGAAGGGCCCTTTAAAGGTCTTCTAGTCCAACCCCCTGTGATGGACATCTTTCACTAGATCAGGTTGTTCAAAGCCCCATCCAGCCTGGCCTTGAACACTTCCAACGATGGGGCATCTGCAACTTCCCTGGGCAACCTTTTCCAGTGTCTCACCACCCTCATTGTAAAAAATTTCTTCCTTCTATCCAATCTAAACCCTACCCTTTTTCAGTTCTGAACTGTTGCCCCTTGTCCTCAGGCCCTGGTAAAAACTCTCTCTTAGTGTTTCTTACAAGCACCCTTTATATATTTAAAATGCCAGAGTAAGATCTCCCTGGGGCCTTCTTTTCTCCAGGCTGAACAACCCCAACTCTCTCTGCCTTTCTTCGTAAGAGAGGCGCTCCAGCCCTCTGACCATTTTTGTGGCCCTTCTCTGGACCCACTCCAGCAGGTCTAACATGGTGGGCTCCTGTGCAGGCACATACCCTGTGTTACTTAAAGGGAAGGTTATAGTGGTTTACTCATTAGTCAATGAGGGGAAAAGGTAAATTTTATGCTTAGGAGACTACTGTTAATGAACACCTGGATAATGGTCTGGTCAACTGCGAAGCCAGTCTGCCTTGGACCTGGAGGCTGGATGGTTACCCGAGGCCAAACTTGCCAAACCCACAGGGCCTGGTTGGCCGTGGTACCCTTGATTATTGTCACGGGAGAGTCTCTGTGGGTGCCAGTGTGTGTGCATGCACAGTATCGGGCTGAGAGCCGGGCTCTGCGTGCCTGGCGAGCGAGGACGGCAGCCCCAGCAGGGGGAAGCGAGTGACTCGTTTGTACCTAGCTGGCCGGTGTGGCGTGAGACAGCCTCGGCATTCCTGCTTCTCGGCTGAGGCAAACCCTCTGCTGTTTGGCTGTTAGCAAGCCCGGTTGTTGGGCTGCTTCCTGCCTTCCCATATGGTGCCTTGTTTAAACAGAAGACATTTACAAGGAGCGGAAATTGTAAAAGTAGGCTAACCAGAGGGGGATTTACAGTAAACGTGAGATGAGTGTGCATGCCTGGGTCACAACGGGGGCTCAACTTCAGGTTACTTACACGCCTGTTGTGTTAAAAAACCTAGAAATACATGGGGTCCCTGGCTGGCCATGGCTTACTGTGGCAGAAGTCCAGCTCCTGCAGCTAGTCCTTGCTGATGAGGTGAGCACGAGTGGCGCAGGCTGCCCAGCCCGCAGCACGGCAGGGCCTCCCTGTGCTGCCCAGCTCATCCTTGCTGGCCTGCCCTGGTGCCTCCCTGCCGAGGAGGAGAAGGCAGATGGGTGCTGGACCAAGCGGGTGGAAGCGGCACCTGCCTGCTGGGCAAAAGAGGAAGGAAGCTTGAAAAAGCAAGGAGGGACCCAACAGTGTCAGCTGTACCTTTACCAAGTTAATGTCTTGCTGCTACCCTGAGTCATTGTCTCTGGGAACTGCACTGAGAGAAGATAGGGCCTTCTGGCTCTTCTTCCTTTGCCCTGGGGATCTTTCACCTCACATACTCTCAGCAACAAGCATGAACAGTACAACGACCACTCGTGCCTCAGTGGTGCTCATCCCATGTCCCCTGGAACCTGCCGTGGGATGCGAGGGGAGGTGGCAGATGGCAGTGACAGAGGCCCCAGGGAAATGCAGCATGATGCACAACACGCGTGCTGTGTCTTCATGTCAACCTCCTGCTCTGCTGAGCCTTCCCAGGCTCAGATCCTGGAGCTGCCAGGGCTTGTAGGCCTGCTGTTATTCCCACTTGGAGCAAAGCTGCTGCTGGTGCCGCTTCTACACTCACCATCACCTTGTTGCTTAGGTGGCCCTGTTCTTTCTAGCACATGCAGCCTCTAACATTTGAAGGGCACCCATTTAAAAAAGGGTGTTGGGGGAAGACAGGTGGATGCTGGTGGCCACGTGGTCCTGCTTCAAAATACACCGATGTCATGCCCATGCAATGTTGGATATGGAAAGAGCAGAAGGAAACAAGGTAGGTCATGGTCTACTGTGGTGGAAGTAAATTCTGATCACTTGCAAAGGCCAGAAATGTTACTTGAAAAAGTTACTCGCTAGTTTTCTCTACGAGCTGTTCAATTCCCAAGGCATGCACTCCAGTTCCCCTGAAGCAGCTGTTCTTAGATTTGTAGAAACCTCGACTCATCAAAATCAATTACATCAACTTTAATAAACTTCCCAATAAAGACAGTTAATCAATTACCACTGTTTTCATCTGCCATAGGGGTTCTGCAGCTGTTTTTATTTTAAAACAATCCACTACTCAACCAGAATATGCAACTGGAATGAAGCATTATTAAATCAAGATGAATGTTATGTGTGTAGAACAATCAATCTGTAATTTTACCAGGATGATGAACTACCCTGTTGTCCCAACTACTGCTGAGCCTGTACGCACATCACAGAAAATCCTCTCATGATGGCACTGGGGCTTAGAGTTACTCTGCAGTCCAGGCTGCCAAGAAGTGCATGCTGTACACTTCGTTAGTAGTAGGGAAGCATTGTTTGTAACACTGTAATTAAGAGTTTTGCCTGAAAAATCCCTCTTTGCAGGGTGTTAGATTTCTTGCTCTAGTTTCCAGCTCCAATAAATGTTCATGATAATAATACATTGTACATAGGGATTTCAATTGCTTTAAGCAAAATTAATTATATTTAAAATATTTTCCAGCTCAATTTTTTTCATTTGAAAGTGTGAAAAAATTGCATAGGCTAAAGACTAAGAATTCAAAGCTAATGTTAATTTCAAAAATCACATATTACAAGAAATTAATATATAATGTGAACTGATCAATAGTGAAGTTGGGGGTGGGGAAGGAGGGAACAAACCCGGCAGCCATGGTTTGTTTTGTGTAAAAGGGATGGTCATTCAGCTGGTTCCCTACCTAAAAACACGATCAGAATTGAGAACTTTAAATCTTTAGCTGAACTTCTGCAATGCCTTTAATTGTGCCAGTCAAGACAAGAGACCTCTTTTTTTTTTTTTTTTTTTTAATCCTGGAAGTCTTGAATCTGCGACCTAAAAACCAAACACAAACATTTTTCTGAATCTTAAAGAACAGTTAATTAGTTGTTTTGAAGTCACTATGGTCTCCTCTTTGCTTTTATCTTAACTGCTTTAGCTACTAAAAATGCTAGAGTGGATTGTCCACAAGTGTTTTAGCAAGTATCAAGACAAACACAATCCAGAGCAAGTTTAGCAACCACAGACTTGCTTAAAGTTGAAAGAATCTGTTTAACAATTTCAGTGGTAACCACGTTGGGTTGAAAAGCAGCCTGTCTATCCCTTGAGCTCTTAACATTTTTGGCAACACAGATAATTAGAGTTTGAGATGCAGAGGATTTGGGGCAAACATCCTGTGTTGCGAGTGCAAACCAGCACCCGTAAGTGTAAGTAAGTGCACCCCAGCGTAAACCTTAGGTATTTCCCAGTTAATCCACTTTGTAGATGCCATATTTACTGCCAGAGACTACAGCCCAAAGTCAAGAGTTCAGGCTCCCTGGTAATGCTCAAGAAAGTTATACATCTCAGAGAAGACAGCTTATCGAGCAAGGAGCTGCCAGTACCAAATAGTAGGAAATACTGTGGAAGAAATCAAGTTTTATCTTTAGAAACAGTTAGGCATCTACATCAGCTTCTGTGTCTTAATCACCAGCCTGAGGGCTGGGTATTGCATAAAGAGAAGACCTGACTGTCCTTTCCCATTACATGTGAAAATACAATGCTAAATATCTGAAGAACTTCTCTGGCAAAACATTAAATACCTTGAGACTTCCAGGCTCTGGAGTCTGCAATTTTGAACACTACAGTTTTGGACAGAGGTGTTTAAAACTTGCTGAGGATTCAGTCAGATAAACACTAGTGCCCTGATGACAGCACGTAGCTTTTTAGCTAGGAGGTATCAAATGCACATTAATGCCGCTCACTGCAGCCATCAAATGATGTTCCACGGCATTTGAGAAGATGATCACTTTGGTTAACTTCTATATTTATTACAGTTATTTTCAGATTTTCAATGCAGATACTTGGTTAGCTAATAGACTATGAGGCAAGGATTAACTGAGTTTATAGTTAACTGGTAATGAAAAATTTCACCAACACAAAAAGAAAATTAACTGAATTAAAAAAGGCCAAATACAACAAATTGCAAATCAGGTCTTACACAGTACATAGAGCAACTATGCAGAACTTACGATCTTAAGTGGCTGCTGACACATCCTTTTTACCTTCCTTTGCTGTAAAAGGAGAGTGGGGAGGCAAAGGGACACAGAGTGAGTTCAAATGTTCTCATTGTCCTACTGGATTACTATTCAGAAACAGTGTGAGATAATGATATGAATCATTAGGTACTGTCTATGATATGCTTTATCTTCAGATGATTGTGACATACCAATTCAACAGCACACCAGGTTTCCAGTGGGAATAAAAGGTCTTTTTTGTCAAAATCATTTTATTAAAGAGTTAATGTCACTACAAGCTCAAAATAACACATGCTTCAGAAATAAATTGGATGAAAAATACTCCAAACAGAAATATGAATGTTTTGAAGGCATGGTAAAGCATCAGTTGCAAGAAACTTCTGCAAACAGGTGCAAATTCTGTTGGTACAATGGAGAAAAACCTCAGAAAAGAAGCCTGCTGGACATGACTTCTGTTTATGTAGTGCAGTTTGTCTAATAAGTTAAATCAGAAAGGGCACAAGTTCCAGGGCTGCACAGACCTAAATGTATTTCTTCAATAATTAACCCCAGCACAGATTTTTCACTGTGAGTACTAACAAAACAAATTTAGTTGACATCTTAACATAGCAGTAATATATATATTATATATATGATAGATGTTTGACTCATGCAGCCTCCTCAGTTACATGATTTTTTTTTTTTAGTTTACTCAAGAAACATTATAAAAAAATAGGTTTGCAATTTGTATTTCACTCCAGTGTTAGTTCCGCATCACCTCGGGCAAAGACAGTGTTTCAGCTGATAATCTAATTTGGCAAGAATTCTGCCCTAATTCTTAACCTCGTTTTTGTAAATCCATGTAGAAAATAAATGCGAACTCTTTATACAAAACAAGAGCAAATAACTGTACCTATATAAAAGGGGATTAATTCCCTTTAGTTTTATTATCATGGCACATACTTGATAGTTTCACAACAGCATACTAATTTTCATTTAGTTTTTTTAAACCTCAAAATAGTGTTGACGAATAGAAGAATGTGAGTTACCATAGGCAGCCGACTCATGCATTAAGCAATTCATGTTCTTTATCAGTTTTCCCAACAGCATCAGGATTGGATAACGGGTCAAGGTCAGCAAAGAGACTGAACCAGGCAGTCAAGTCTTTAGGGTTCTTTGTAGGTTCTGAGGGAAAAAAAAAAAGTAGAGACTTGTCAGCTATTTTAAAACAAAACTGACTGAATGTTTGACTGAGGTCAAACAAATGCTATGCTATTGTTTAATTTATTACTAAGGGCACTTCTGACAAGAAAATCGGAATGAGTGATGGTATTTTAAAACACTAGCTTTAACAGAATATGGAACTTTATTAAGAATGAATGTTTTACATCTGTCTGCCTGTGTACTTTACATGGCTCCTGCCATGATAAATACAGGAAGACTTTAATTAAAAATAGAAACAATCTTGCTCTGTCTGTCTAGCTTTGTTTCATGAAAGGTATTTCATTTGTGTGTGCATGTGCATGCCTGCAAAAAAGTAAAAGGAAAGTGAAGGCAAACTTTACTTTCAACCTCTCTTACAGGACTAAATTCCTTCACCTAAATCCAGTTCATGTGACTGTTCTGTCCCCTCTCCAGCATATACGACCACACGAGGTCATTATTCATCTGGAATGCAGATTTAATGGGAAGGTAGTGGCTGGAGAGAGAGGGGGTACGTTTGATAGCCAGTCCCAAATACAGCTTCTACTATTAGGGTGTATTTTATGATGGATATAAAAAAAATGTGAACCAGGAATAAGTTCCAATGGCAGCTGGACTATTTGCATCCATTTGTCTATATTGTCATACAAGTTTCACAGAGGTCTCCTACCTTCTCTTATTCCAACAGGGCAGATGTTCAGGTCAAAGCTGTGACAACTTTGGCTGCTATAAAGAAGGTACATCACCACTATGCTTTGATTTTTGTGACCCTATGCTTAACATGTATTATATTGATAGTGAAATAAGATGTGCTCTTCCCTTCAGTCAGATAATGTCGCATGAAAGCATTCTTTGCAACACAAAGGATTTACGGACAAAATAGGCTCTGCCTGGCATAACTTTCATCTTGGTGTCTGCAAGGGTGGAGTATCTGCTACTTTCATAAACACAGATTTCAGACTAGCTAAAGGCTGTTCCTTTTTCTGGTGAGGGTACTGTGGCTGTGACATCACAGTCATTTCCAAAACAGTTTCCAAAAAACTTTTTTTGCTTCTGCTGAGCTGAAAAATGTCAGTCTTTTAATCCTGGGAGGCCGGGGAAGGAATATACATGTCACTCCTTTCTTCTGCACTGAACATCTTTGATGTAGCTTCTGATCAAATGTGAATGCACAGAATAGGCTACAGACTGGCCATAAGGATTCAACATATTTCTGGTTCACTTATCCAGAAAATTCTAGTCAAAAATCACCAGGGCTTTGTCTCAGTAGATGGCAGGGCTATGCACTCTTGGCTCAGATGCAAGAAGTGAATTAAGTTTCAAGCAGCTGATTACTGATATGATGTATGTTATCAACAAAATTTGCAATTGGGGCTTTTCTGCCTTATCAGTAGCCTGTGTTTTAACCACAATGTCCTCCTAGAGCTTCAAAACACTGTTTAGCTTAGACAAAGTGTATGCATATACTATTCTGCATGAATCAAAATTAAAGTAGTAGAAGAAACCATAGTTTCACCTCCCCTATATAATAAATTACTCTCTTGACATACTACGAGCACTGAAGTCTATCAAAAAACACACATGCACATATATCATACACATAATCAACACTGAAACACAGTAATTCATTAGTGAGCACAAGATTCTTGACATGTATCTACTACAAAAATAGGATTTATTATGATGGAGTAACTGAGAAAACTGGAAAGATAGGAGAGTCACAGCTAAAAAAGAAAAGCAAACTGAAAAAATACATCTATCACCTTTCATGGGCGTCTTGTTAGTGTTCACATTCAGGCTGTTCGGTTTCTGTGCTGGCTGTGGTATAGACGGTGGGCTCACACTGTTAGCTGCCCATCCTAAAATTCAATAACAGCAGCATTAGCGTGAAGAATTACTCTGTTAACTCCAATGCCCCACTGTCTGGCAGCACAATGCACACATGAGACAATGGAGCGGAATATTATGTTTATGGTTATGGCCATTTGTATCTTTCCTCATACACAAGCAGTCAGATGCTGCAGACAAGCAACATCCGTAAGAAGAGAGTATCTGTGGACCAGCTTCATCATCTCCAGATTCAGGCAGCTGTACTCTTTTCAAATCTTTAACCTGGCTAAAAAAGATTTTTTTCTTGTTTCTTTTATCCAATCACAATTAATACTTTTTCACAGAAAGGCCAGTACATTAATCAAGTGAAGCATAGCTGCAGGGAGAAGAATATCACTTATATTTGGGTGAAAATATCTCACATACTAAACATTTTTTCCACCTTTTTTCACTCTTACAGTTCCAAAGGCTTTCATTTCACCAGTGATTACAGAAAAAACATGTTTAGAGACCCTGGATTTTTTAGTTAATTTTTAAATTATTAATTCTGAAAAAAATAATTTATTGCAAATACTTTGAAGAACTAAACTCAACATGCACTGCTTCAAGTTATCTCTAAACTAGGTTTTAATGGAGTATTTTTTCGCTCTTCATTTGAAGGGATCTTCTCATCAGGGACAGAGTAACTATTCAGGAAAAAGTAAAACTGGGTATTCACAATTTTTTTGTCCTTATACAATTTTATGCTCATGCATATTCCATAGCTACAAAAGAGTAACAACACAGTTAATGAATTCAGATGAGCTAGGCTGGCAAAACAAACCAGGGGTGGTGTACCACAGAAATGTATCAGGAAAAAACAGAGCGTTTTTGTTCCCGGCTTAAGATATTTAAATTATTATGCTTTATCATTTTTAGAGGACTGGATGTCTTATTTCTACTTTCAATAATATTTCCTTAAGTGTGGCCTGATCAATTATCCATCTGTCTTTGGGATCTAGTATATTTAACTGCAGTATCACAAACAGGATACTTACCTGTGCTCAGAGTTAGCATTTCCCTATTCAGTCTTCTTTTTCTATAAGTTCATACTTTCACATCCTTTTCTACTCTCTTTGCCCTTCCTCTCCTTACTTTCTCCTCTTTTGAGACTGCTGTCAGATACTGGTACCCAGTGTCCTGACAGTTTCTGCAACAGCCACATAAGTCACATAAACCCTTCTTCCCTCTAACAGATGATTGTCATCACTCTCTGATCTTACCTTGACTATAAAAAGTCTGAAGCCCAAGCTGTGCTATTAAAAAGAGGCAAGAAGGACATTTCTATAAAATCACATGAATTAGAAAGGAAATTTAAAGCCACAGACATCCTCTGTATCTCTAAGGAAACAAACCGAAACTTCTTCAAAATCTGGATGCAGAGTGCTCACATATATTTGTTTTAGTCAAAGGTGATAAAGGCTTATGAACTAGCATGTGCCGCCTGAAAATGAGATTTTAGAGTTTAATCTTTCAACTAAGCAAATCTGAATCATAAATAATTAAAAGTATGGAATTAATACTTCAGAATTACATACTTTTCCAGGCATTTTCTCTGATTGTGTTACAAAAGAGGAGAATGGCAGAGGACATTACACACGACTACAGAAAACGGTAATGCTTTTGTTTGTTTGGAGATTAGGAGAAAATGTTTTAATATGTCAGTGGATGGCAACTGGTAAATTGAGTGGCTTAAGCAAATAGGAACAAATCCTAATTTCACAGAAATGAATGGCAGTGCTGCCTGGAAACTTTCTCTGAAAGTCCCAGCGAGATCAGGAGTTGGCTCCCTGAGACCTCACTGATGTTAGTTTACACTGATGTGACTGGCAGACCACAGAGCAAAACACTGCAGAGCAGTTAAGTCCTTTGGAGCCCTCCCTGTGAGTCCCTGGACTAAGGCTTGGTAAGTAGCATGTCTATGAGAGACCGCGTGGTCTGGTTCTCTGTTCCTTGAAATGCAGATAGCTCAAGTACCACTTAGGAAACAAAAATAACATAACAGCAGCAACAAAAACACCCAACCAAAAATGATCCGGAAAATGTGTGATGCTTTCATAATGAACTTATCCATCTGTGAAGGTATTGAGAAAGGCTGACACAGAATTTTTATTAAACACTTTAATTCATTATATTTTTAGTGTCCACTCACAGTGAGCTAGAGAACAACTTTGCCTTTCAAACACAAACTGCAGCCTATCAATTTGACAGCAGTTGCTGGCCCTAAGCCTGTTCTGGTTTGCCTGTTCACAGGATGACTTTGTTACGTGACTAGACAAAAGAATATTGCTGAGACAGCAAGGAAACCAAACAGCTTACTTTTCAGCTAGCATCTTCACAGACGTTACCACAATTAAATTTAGAAATGGAAATGGTGAGCTGCACATTTTCATACCAACTAGAATATACGCACATGTAAGAAAGATAGAAGAGCCCTTAGTGGCATGAATAAATAAATGAGGCCACAAACATCATGAAAGAGAAAGCCAATGCTCTCTGAAAAAGTGGAAAGGCAACCAAACTACAAAGCTGCATCTGGAAGAGAATCTGAAAGATTTGTTGGGAGCATGCTTTGTTTCTAATATATATACACACACACAAACACACATTTGTATGTATTTTAAACCAGCACCTGGTAGTCCCATACCAATTCAAAGTCCCATTGTGCTAGATCCTGCCTATAAATACAGCCAGAGAAAACTCCAAGCTGGGAATTCCTGACCGTAACAGTTTATAACCTGCATAGCATTGTGCCTGTTTTACAGATTAAGATCTGAGGCAGCAAGAAAACAAAGCCCCAAAGATTTATGAGTGTGCTTAACGTAAAATAAGTAAGTAATCCTACTGAAGTTAATAGAAAAGTTAATGTGCTTAAAGTTAAGCATGTGAGTTTTAAGAATCTTTGTGGTCTTAAGGCCAAATTCACACAGGAAGTATGCAACATCAGGGCTCCAGTGTAGCACCTCATATGGAGTAACATTAAGCAATCCTACCAATTAGGGGAAAAAAAGAGAAGGTATTGGAGATGTGTCACGAGTCCTCAATAAAATTATCCATAATTCATATATTACAATATTTCTGACTTGTACATTTAGATCTGTTTATCCTGAAGTTAGTATTTTGTTTAGAAAAGCAAAAGTCTCTGTTCCCAAATTTAGTAATAAGGTCAAATTATGAAAGAAGTGCTGTGAAGTGAAATGAAATGCAGTTTAAGATTAAAGCTGAGACTTCACAAGATATAAAATGGACAGAATTTCACCTTCTGTTAAAAAATAAGAAACAAAAAACATAAAAAGAAAAATAGCCTATGAAAGTTAGTTTAAACAGTTCATTGTACTTGACAGCTAGAGTAAGCTGGGAACATGCTGATTATTCAGGTGGTTAGCCCTGACTTTTCAAATGCCAGTAGATCAATTACTGTGATCCTCCTGCCAAAACCTTTCAAATGCATTTCAAAACATCAACATATTTCCAGTACAGACTTATTCTTTTGCTTATTCAAAAAGATTTTGGGATATCATGTTGACTGGAATGGATTTTCCATTTCCAGTGTTCCTTGAATGCAACATACCAGAGTTCTGATTTTGAAGTGCTAACAGTGCAGCCAATGTCAGTGTCTTGTGCAAATGACAGCGACAACAGCAGCCTCAGAAAGGATACTCAGTCCTGTTTGCCATTTACACCTCAAAAATATTCTTCCTTCAAGAATATGTTTACATTTAAAAACATGTAAAAACTCTGAAAAAAACCAATCCAATAATACTTCTGTTGATATTCTTAGTACTTTGCTTAAAATCTGTTTATGTCTCTGTACCAAGAAAAGTATTTTTCATTGTTCCTTTTTCCCCTTTCAGTAGATACCACGTTCACTTCTGGTCACAAGCTGTTTAATTTGACAATGCAATGACTAAACCTCGTGATTTTTTAGCTCATATTTTATAAGGTCAGATCCTACACTCTTCCAGTCCTTCTTCACTCTATCAGTCATACTCAAATATGCATGTACCTCATCATAAAATACATCTAAAACTGTGCATCATTGCAAATGTTTCCATCTAAGTGTTGAAGTCAGTGAACCCAAATATCTTGTTTTAGGGCTGGTGGTAGTAACTGTATAATGTAAATTTGACATTCTTATTCTTGCCAAAACATCACAGGTCTTTTAACATAATGTATGGTACCAGTTCCATGACTTCCAAGTAGTAGTCTTCGGCATGGACTCAGTCTGCTAGTCCTTTCTACATCACTCTTCCCCAAATGAGATTTAAATGACTTGGGACAGAGCCCAGAAAGGCCAGGTCTTCCTCCATCTTGCAATGCCCTAGGAGAGGTCTAGCCAAACCATGGGGAGGATGAAGGTAGTTGCTGTTGGCTGGTTATCCTCCCTCCCTTCCTCAAGGCCAAAGCAGCAGCAGGAAAGCTCTGCCCTAGTTCCCCTCTTTCCTTTCCTCTCCCCCCCAGCAGCTGCTTGGAAAACCCAAGAAAATTAACTGCACAGAAAAAAGGGGAGAGAAAGGATTGCAGCAGTAGGTAACCAGCCTACAAGAGGAATCTACTTGTATGGTTGCTAGGATGAGACATCCCATTCTACCTTGTCCATATTGCTACATGCAACAGCATGGAATACTTTGAAAAAAATATAAAATTAATGAATGTAATTGATTTTCACTAAGTTGTTTAAAAATAGCATTACCAGACAAAATACAGTAATAATTTTTGGTTTTTTGGCCCCTTAACAGAGACAGCAGTATGTGATTTAAACAGTGTATTTCAGGAAACTCAATGAAACATTCAAGATCGTAATCCTGACTTTAGGTTTTAGTCTGCTTCACTCACAAACACCGAATGAGCAGGGCTAGAAAATCAAATATGCTGCTCACATGTTTTTCTCCCGGCCATACTCTGCTTTAACTTCAGCGTTACTGCAGCTACGGCACAACATAAGCTGTCACCACACTTCTACATAGCAGAAAACCATACTCTAAAACCTAAAACCAAAATGCTGACAGAACAAGATGAGCTCTCACCATCTAAAGACGACTGCAAGTCATTCATGTTTTGGTCTAACAGCTGTGAGGGCAAGTAGCCTGATGGTGTTGGTGCCACAGATGACGAAGCGTTCTCCACATCTCCAGCTGAAGAGTTCATGGTGTGATCAGCAAGTGCAACCTGTCCAAAAACGGCTGTCCACTCTTTGCTGAATTCCCCTTCGTCCAGGGAGGAAGCGTTGAGGATCTCATTCAGTAGTATCATGTCATCCTTATCATCAGGTTCTGACTCCAAGGACCTCACAAACTGATCCTTTGAAGCTGCCTCAGAACAAGAGAGATTTTTTTAGACAAAGAACAGAAGGAACCTTTTAAAAAATATCCAATCCAGGTTTTTTATGTTAAATGAGATGGAATATTTTTGCACAAATATTTGTTGTTTTCTCTTTTAGACCCAATTCTCTTGCACATCTGGGCCTGTACTTTATGCAACAGATAATTCCCTGATTATATTAGATAATCTCACTGCTGTTAAGACTCATTTCTCATTAAAAACAATACCAAATATATGCTTAAAAATCTATTAAACACCACACCAAAATCATTACATAGTCTAATATTTAAAACATTGGATAAGACTACTTCTATGTTACTTTTTGAAGCATTATATAAAACTGTCAAAAAGAAATTGGATTGGTATAATTCAAAAGTAAGAGTTGAGGATTATTCTAGAATTTTGTGAGAACATACTTCAGACGACCTTTATGACCCTCTGAACAAAGCTTGAATTATTGGGGTATTTCCCCATGAGAACAGGTTACTCTACACAAAGTAAGATTTCTACACTGGTCAATGCTGTAGTAACTTTTTTTTTCCCCTCTCTTAGGCTGCCAAGAAATAACTGGGGCCACTTTCCTTCTGATTCCCCTTGCTAGTTTTTCTAGCACCAGAACTGCAGTTGAAGAAGCTCTTAGATCACTTGAGACATTACTCCTTAAAAACATTTTTTTCCTATTTTAGAAATGATAAACAAATAAAATACATTAAACTTGTAACCAGAATTGTAATCCTTTTCTCTAGCTTACAAAATATTTGGGAAGTAAAAGAACTATCATGGAACCCCAAGTATTATTTTACTTGGAAACAAATATGCTCCACTGTGGGAATATGCAGAGGACAAAAATGGTAGTTAACAATGTTGATAATGTTGTATTACTGAAATCCAGATGAGTTTATCTTAATTATGCTTGTTTCAAAGTTGTGGTAAAGCACAGAAGCAACTTCAGTTTTCCAAAGTCTGAGTAGATTAGCTGAGCTCTCCAAGTTACACACAACTTGCAAAGATGCTTTTAACTCTTTTGGGTTGGGATAAAAGAGTGATAGTAGCTAAGTGCTTGCAACAGGCCATTTTACTTAAATGCAACAGCCTTCTCAGGAAAGCTCCTTTTAATAGCTGTAATAATTTATAATGAAATGCCTGAAGTTGAGTCAGAGGAGGAAAAAAAGCGCAAAACTGGGCTTTAAAATAGGTTGATGAGTCACACACACCTACGTACTAACAAACATAAACCAACACACAATCTAAGGATTTTATTCATTACTGAATTGAGCCCTGAGATTCACCTCCTTTCTAATTCACATTTTTATATACCTCTGTACACCCTGACAGGGCTCAAAAATTAGAAACAGAAATGTTACAAACACGTCAGTTCTCCTGATGTTCCCACCAGACTAACTAAAATACCATAGAAAACAATTTGTTCTTATGAATTTCCAGGTTGCTTTCCCATCTTCAGATAAACAGCAAAGAATGTTAACCTTGTCCAAGCACCTACAATTCCCCCAAGCCACTCAGCAGGTGAGGCAGAGAGGTAAATCCTTCTGTAGGGCAAACACACCTGCTATTTCAAAGGCACTTATGAACTCTGATCTCTACAGGGCATCACCATCTCAAAGCTGCTTTCAGGAGGCCCCTTCATGAACTTGGAAAGCTTGCAGGGGGAGATGCAAAGGGAGCATCATTAGTAACAGATCTGCTAAGACACACCACCACCACTGTACCTAACCACAAATGACCTACAATGGAACAAAAGCTTTGCAGCCACACAGCTCAGAGCAAAGCCCTGCTTCATCTGGGTCTCCCATTGCAGTAGTCCCATTTTTACTGGGGAGAAGGTACAATATAGAGCTTTACATCTGAAGAGTAGCTAGGTCTTGCTGTAGCGTGTATGACCACCAGAAATCAAGAGTGATACATTTCTTGCCTCATCAGTCTTCCTGATCTTCCTGTGCGGACAACGCACCCAGGGCGGGGGAGGATAAGGTGATGCCTATGCTCAGGCTACCTGGAGTAAGCAGCGGTAAGTTCTATTTCTGCTTGCAATAAAGGTTATCTTGAAACAAGTCCTGCTTATCAAGATATTACTCATGTAGTATCTCTGCTTGATTACTAGAATAATATGGACTTTCTCACCTCACCCATATATCTCCTATTACTTATTTTCTTGTTTCTCTGTTTTCACTGCTTATTTTCACAGCCAAAATCCCTTTTTTTGTCTGCACATGCTGCCCCATATCTTACAAATGTCCATGATAAAACCCCAAAACTTCCAATAAACCACTGAAAAAACAATGTCGCTATATTCTTTTTTGTAGTAGTTTGAACAAGCCTCTAGCAATGCTCATAATGCTTTGCAAACATGCTTCGTTTTGCTGATATTTAAAAAAAAATAAATGGGAAGAGAAACTAAAAATATTTACAACAATACGTGATCGGAAACACAGGATAAATACTTCCCTCTGAAATACACATGAAAGTGTACCTCTAACTATACTGCTTCACTTAAAATAAGACAAAATTCATTAGCCTAAAGCTAGCTAGGGTGTAAAATTAGGGTAAACGGCCGGTATTGTAACATTAACATAACTATCCTCATCTGCTGTTGCCACCTCACAACTGCTTTCATATTGATTTAACTATTTGACTACACAAAAAAAAAGCCTTCTAACTAACACAGCTGAACTTGTATGACCAATAATTGTATGCATTACCTGCACCTCCACTAAGAAGGTCCAACAAAGAATGGAACTGAGTAAGGGGAAAACCAGAAGAAAAAGGGCTGCTGTCAGACAAGCACTGACCTTTTTTTATTAACCACAGAAGAGAAGTCATCACTACCTTATCTATCCACAGGTTAGGGCTGATTCTGCACAGACAGCTGAAGAACCTTCCCTGTTTCTGCCTTCATGGACGATTACCCACATGGGTAATTTCCCCACAGTGCAAAAGACTGCCTGTGCCAAATCCAAAGTTGAGGTGTTTGCAAATGCTTTCTTCCTCACCTACCATGAAGGCAGTGCCTTAAATACCCCACATTACACTCCCAGTCTGACTGACTAAACTGCACAAAGGGATTTTTTTTTTCTTTGCTTCTTTACTTGCTTTTTGAGTTGCCATAGTTGTTTTTGGTGGTGGTGGAAGTTTTTTTACTCATTCTTCTGAGATATATGAGTGAAAAGCAAATGAAAAATTATAGGTAATACTATTACTGCACATAAAAACACAATATAAAACTTTTAGCCAGATCATTCATATGTTACATGGTAAAACAGTGCCCTTCGGAAAAAACAGCACATCCTTTCGAGCTGCAACAGATCTAACAAAAACGTAAGGATTGGAGTAGAGCCTGGAATGAAAGACTGCTTTCTCATGTGTGTATGAGAACAGCACAGTGGATTTAATTAATTATCTGGCTGAAAGAAGTCACCAGTTGTTATATGGTTTTAAGAGGACTAAATCATTTGGTTCTGATACATACATTTCTGATATAAATCTTGTGGTTACAAGTGTATTGTCAAGGGTTGTGATACAACAACTAAAGAACCAAAACCAGAAAGTTTGTGAAATGTTATAGGAGGGATAAGGTTTACAGTAGAACCTACTTCAGCAGGGCAAATATAGTCCAGTATACCTAAGCTTGAATCACCTGTTACAATGTGTTTTATCCTCAGTAAGGTTTACTTCATATTATAACATTAGGAACAGTGCCTCTGCATATATATGTTGAGTTCCCTTCAACGCTGTTTAAATACCACAGCTCAATAATTTCATTCAACCTTTCAGATTATGAAACAATTAAAATTATACTTGGTGCCTGTAATTGAAAAGCAGATGAAACAGACATGCACAAAAGTTTCATACCATTTTCTTCAGGTTGCAGGTCTAATAAGTCATCTATGGCACCTAAAAGCAAAATAAAAAAAAAAAGGAAAAAAAGAAAAGCAACAAAAGAAGATCTGCAGTACACTGACAATCAGTATGTATACATCCAAAGGTAGTTTTCTTAAGTCTCTTCACCTGAGTTCTGCTTGTGGTTACAATTTCCTTGTAATGCGGATATGACATCCTTGCCATCACCAGCTGTAATCAAGATCCAAAAACATGTCAAATTGCACTTGGCACAAGATCATGCTTATAAACAAAGTCACTGTAAGTTCAACATGCAATGGCTGTTGGTATTCATGTTTGAAATGAACCTGGTCACAATGGATGACAAGGGAGGCAAATTTCTGAATAACCGGGGGGGGGTGGATCTTCCTTTGAATCACCGCCTGCCACACCAGCTCATCTCCAGGCTGAGTGCACCCAACTGGGGCAACTGCAAAAACCAGACAGGTCTCTGCTGTCCTCCAGAAGCTGAGACACTTCTTTTAGAAGCCTGTACTTACACTGGCCAGGAGAGAGCACAGAAGTGCCAGGACCTCATCATTCCCTAAATCGCCTTCCTTGACAATATGTTTCTTCCTCATGACACCAACTCTGGGAATGGGGAAAAGGAATCTCCCCTCAAAGCACCCCATGTCAGTATATAAGTAACAGCACCTCTTCTCCTGCAGGAAAATAATGGGCTAAGACCAGTAGGAGGAAAAATACAGCTGAGGGTTATAGGCTATCAGAGGTAAAATACACCACCACACCCCAAATGTAACTAGGTTAAGTTCTGAGCAAGTTTCTAAGGTTAGACATGGAGGCAAAACAATCATCTGGATTCCCTCTATCAGTGAGGAGAAAGACACTTCCCTCAGGTGATTAATCTCATTTAACATATGTAGCAAAACAGAAGGGATTAGTTACCACTGAACATGCCTTTCTCTTCTCATTAACTGTTGAGGAAATCTAGCTTCTAGACAGCTAAGACTGTAGTTCTAACGGCAAATGAAGGGGTTGGTCACAGTATTGCCAGAACCGGAAGACAGATATGCTGGATGCCTCAAACCTGAGGCTGGAAAGGAGAAATAAAATTCTCTATAGGGGAATAAAAATGGAATGTCAAACCTTTTCAAGAAAAACGTCAAGGTGTGTTCAGGACAAAATGAAACAGAGCAGCTTCCTGTTTGAATCATACTACTTTAGCAAGGCTTTGCTAGGACAATGACAGAAATGTGCTACCAGCATTACAACCAGCTGGTCATTTAAGGACCCATGATCACATCTGATTATATTCCATATATATAGGAGAGGTATAAACACACATGGATAAATATAACTAATGCTTCCATAAAAGGACAATGCACAAAGCTAAAGGGGAAAAACCCAACCCTCAACTGAATGGCAGAGGGTGTGGGTGGAAATCAGAAAGAGAAGTTCATGAAAGGTGGGATATGGATGACCACAATTCTGTAATGAAAAAGGTACAACTGTTGCCGAGAGCCTGTTTTAGTTCAGTCATAAACATGATGGAGCCAATCTTAAAAACAACCACAGTATAGTAATGGAAAATGCAGAGCAAATGATTAAAAAATTGGAAATTATGAATTAGAAGTAGATAATGAGGAAAACTAAGAAGAAACATAGCTCCATCACTAGTACCACTACATGTGTATTACTTGAGTATGTACACAGTCCTTTAAGAAAAAAGAAAAAAAAAAGAATCTTAGCAATGGCACATACCCACTAGTGTATGGAGATGGAAAAATTTAGCAAAGCAGGCAGAAGTATTTCAAAATACTTCAGTTCCTTTTAGGGGCGCATGAGAAAGAGACAGATCAAGGTATTTATAGTATGGGTGATGGTGAAAGATTTTACAGCCCATAAGTAACTGAAATTCTAGAAAACATCTGCTAAGAAAATGCAAGTCAGATTTTGCATCCAACAATATTAAAATATTTCATCAAAGAGATATCTGCTCTAATTAATTGCAAAATGGGTGAAACTTCAGAACACATGAGAAGTCCTAATATTGTGCCTTTATTACAAAAAACTCTCAAAGAACAACAATAATTAACAATGTCTCAAGTATTTGTAGGCAACTATGGGCTGGTAGCTTACCATTATTCCTAGGCAAAACATTAACTGAATCCCTTTCAGTATGGGATTCAGCAAAAGAATACAAGCATAATAAATACTCCTATAATAAAAGGTGTTTTTATGGAAAGCAGACCTAGTTAAAAAAACCCAGCTAATTTAATACTTTGATAATCTATGAGCTTTCTTTGGTAAAGATATTTCCTTAGAAACAACTTGACTCTGCACTGCATAGCCTTCCAGCTAAAAAGCTAGCACTGCACAATATCTATAATGAACATATTGAATGGATTAGGAACATGACAACTAACAGATGTCAAAACCCAGTTGTTAGGAGAAATAATTGCAAAGTAGAAGTGTTTCTAGTTTAGATCCACAAGGTTTAGTGTTCTAACCATTGCTATTCAATGGCTTTACCAGTTATCTGGAAGTAAACACAAAATCACATATGAAAAAAATGTGCAAACAACTAACAGACTATTAGAGGTGGTCATTCAGGCCAGTCATTCAGTTTCTGTAGTCAGAGCCGGGAGAATTTAATACCACTAAGTCATAAGTTATATATCTAGGAACAAGGAATCTAAGCCATGCTATAGAAAGGAAGAATGAGTCCTGGAAAGCTGTGACTAAAAGGAACTGAGTCTTGATAAGCAACAAGTTCAAGTATGAGCTTCTAACTTCATGTTTCAGGAAAATGAGATATCCTTCTTGGATATAGAAACAAGAATGTGATTTTACCTTCTAGAAACACAAAGGAGACACCAACATCAGAAATGTGTTCAGTTATATATTTCGCATTTTAAAAAGGATGTTGTAAAGTAGAATGGAAACAAAACCTTAAAAAATAAAGAAGTAGAGAAGATGTCTTCAAGACATAAGTATGGTTAGTCTATTGAAATGCAGATCTGAGAGGAGTCTTGATTTAAATGTAGTACCTTTTAAGTATCTTCATGAAGGATAAACTACCACATATTAAAATGATTCTCCACTCCCTTAGTAGAAAAAGATGTATTATAAGCCATGGCATTGTTTAGGCTGGAAGGACATCTGGGGGTCATCTTGTCAAAGCACCTTGTCAGAGTAGAGTCAGCTACAAAGTTAGATCAGGTTCCACAGGGACATGTGCTATCAAGTCTCTAAGATCTCCAGGGATGAAAATTCCATACCCCCTCCAGGCACTTCTTCCAGCACTTCACCACCCTCACCGTAAGCACTTTTTTTCCTAGTATGTAATCAGAATTTCCCTTCCTGTCACTTGTGTCCACTGCCTCCCATTCTTTCACTGTGCACCTCCAATTAGAGCCTGGCTGTGTCACTGGGTAATATAAACTCATCAGGTCATTGGCAGTGGCTGAATATGACTTTGCCTAGCTTTTGGGCAGAAGTTCCACTGAATTCATCAAGCTTTTAGCAGAGCACGTGTTTAAACACTGGAACAAACTAGCAAGCTAAGCAGCATATTTTCCTTGTCTTGACACCTACTAATCTGCAGATCCTTTCCTTGAAGACCTGCCCAATGAAAGACTTATGCCTTGGAAGACAAGCTATTTCACCTATCTGAGAGTAACTGAGTGAAATGAAGTGGGATATAACATGTAAGAGATTAGTTTTAACAGATCATCCTGGCATTAAGTTTTATGCATTTGTAGGGATTTGCTGGGTGAAGCTGAACATATATGAAATAAACAAAAATGAAAAAACCCACAAAGTTATGATAACATAAAATACCTGAATAGTTTGATTCCTTTGTATGGATCTCCTCATCTAATGAAATCAACCTTAATTTGAAAGAATAAGAAAAAAAAAAAAGAAATTAATTCTAAGGCTACAGAATAATAATACATTTATCTCTTTTTGGTCACATCATTACAGAATCATATCAATAACAAATAAACAGTAATTTAGATGGACTCTTGTATTTGCTGTTTATATGCCGAGTCTGTTATTAACTATGTTTCATTATGGAAGTCTATTGAAAACTAATCTTAGACTGAAGAGCAACTATCAAAACCTTTTAGTTTAATTAAATGTCTGTAATGAAAAGTACACTGTATTCTGCGTTTCCAGACTTGGTCTTTCATAACTATCATGAAGAAGGTACAGCTGTTCAAAAAACAACCAAAAACCCAACCACTTTCCATTTCTTTTTTAAACAACAACTAATTAAACATTAACAGTGAGGAGAGTTTTGTCCCATGCCAGCAGATTTCTAAAAAACAGATCAACGGTGTTGATGAAAAAGCTCGACAGAAAAAAAAAAAAAAAAAAAGGTGTGGTTTATATGCAATTCTTAAACAACGGTAATCTCTTCAATGAGGAATATATACTAACTGCTATTACTCTGTGTAAAGCCATTCAACCAGTAGGAAATGAAGCAGCCACAAGGCTGACATGGTGGTAAAGACGACTGTGCAGGCACATTCCTCCAATCGTCTAGTGATAGGACAGGAGGAGCTATGTCCCCTGCTCTTGAGGATAGGCTGGTGGCAGAGCAGAAGAAAATTAGATTCAGGACAAATTTTAGGATAATGAATGTTTACTGTGAATGGAAAGTTCATGAGAATCTTAAAAACTTTGTTTTGTGTAATCTTTTTAGAATCTTCGATGTTTGTTTATTGTTTGTTTTAGACAGAAAAATGGTGACTTTTTCCACTCACTATTATAACAAACAAGGAAAAAGGTAATCCATAAATAAAAACAAGTGGAACCATGACATTGCATCTGATGCATTTGCTGCTAGCTGCCAATGCACACATCTTGCATAAATTATGCATTCATTCTAGAACTTTATATTCAACATTGAGGAAAACAATTGTTTATGCAATTCTTTATTACCGTCACATGAGATGCAGCAGATTCAAGGAACTACTGTAGAGACAACCAACTGCCAAATGGTACTTGGCTGAGTCCTTTCTAATCTGAAATCACCAAATCTGACCAATTTATAAACTGGTTTTGGTCACTGGTTCTGAATCTAAAGAAGTAAAAGGATTGGAACACTGAACTCTTTAAAAATCCATTATTATAAATAGCTAAGCAAACTCCACTAATCGGTCAAGCTGTTCTCTGCTTTTTGACAACTGATCCTTTGCTGGGTGCCTCATTTAACCAGGGACAGTCAAAACAACAGGTGGCAGCAGGATTATATCAATGTTGCATCTCCTCGCAACTGAATCCTGATGGTCCCGTAGGGGAGGGATCTCATCTCATTCTCCCGTTCCCCTCTTCCCATAGCAGCCCATTCATAAGTCTTTCTCACCTCAGAGCTACAGGTAACTCAAACCTTGATAGCATCAGCTCACTTAGATGTACTTTATACTAAGTACCTACTGCTTCATTGGATTACTAACTGATGCTGTATACATTACAAAAACTAATTGCTGCTCAAAGCAATCAGGAATCCATATCCTATTCCCAGGTGAAAGGAGATGCTGCTGAAGGAAGAAATATAATGCTCATATATCTTCTCCCATGTGCAGTTGCTTACCATTTCTCTTACTAAAGAAAAAATGAAGCAAAAGCTGAAAAATAAAGAGAGGGCTAGGAAAGATGAAAAACATATAAAGGTTTAATGGGTCTTTTTAAAGCTCTTAATTTCACTGTGAAGTTTATTAGTTTTCATGTACACATTACAACATTTCAGGAATTCTTGTACTAATCTTACTATTAGCTAGTATGATCAGACAAACTGTGTCTATATTCCATTTATAAATGTCTGGTGACTTTAACAATCAGAAAGCCAATTATAGAGAAAAATACTTATTATTTTAATATATAGACCATGTAACTTACTGACTCTGCTGATCTTGTACTGATTTGGTGCTCTCAATCTGCAGGTCTTCCTTTTCTGCTTTTTCTGTTAGTTTATTCACAGGATCTTGCAAGCTCTAGATCATAACCATAATATAAACAAAGAGAAGAAAACAAAATAGAATCAGGGAAGCAGAAGTGCATCATTTAAGGACAAACCAGACTTTAGAACCTAGAAAAATTAAGCAAGAATGGTTTTGAGCTGTATGAAAACTATATCTGACTCAAACAAGCAAAATAAAAAATGTTAGAAGATACTCATTCAAACTGAGTTCCATGAACACACTTCATGTAAGAAGGTGACTCTTGACTACTTCTAAACTCATGTTCTGTTTCCAATGTTTCTAAGTAAAACCATCTATACCATGTGCAAAGCAGGCACTGACACATGCTGCTTTGCCATTTTCTGGGTTTGCTTCTTTTTTTTTCCCCCTCCCTTTTTGACACCCCCTTTTTTTTTTTTTTTTTTTAAAGATGAGAAAAAATAATTCTTTACATCTGTTTGTTCCTCATATACTGCTTCTTCACTTATTTTTTTTTCTCCTGATACAACTATTCATGCAATCTTGGCAACTGCAGTGTAGTGGGAGGGTACTACTTGTATCATGAATCTGAAAATGAGGGTTAAAATCTTGGATGATTAGTTAGATAGAGGCCAGGTGTGGTATTACAAAACCCTCCTGTCCCTTTGTAATCTGAAAGACCATGCTACAAGGTAACAATGCGTAGCTTCATGGTCAGTGTTTTTATAACCAAAATTTGTACCTGTGAACAAGCCAACACATAAAGCATTATAGACTGACTCCTTGAGATTACAGAAGTGATATACTACTGGTTGTCCCTGTTATGCATTAATTAGGATTTCTGTATGAAAAATGAAGTAACTGAAGACAGTAATTAAATAATCGCAAATGTTAGCAATGTGAATATTTGGCTCTATCGAATGGTTTTGATGTGAAGATGAAAACACGTTCCTTTTTCCAAAGTCCAACTCAGTTTTTGAAAAATAAAGCCATGTTTCATGTGAGTAGTGCCAACCACTTGTAATTACGTTTATGTCTCACTGATATTCACAGTAGTGCATCTCACTCACCTTCTCCCCTGGCCCTGTAAAAAGCTGAAGCTAAGACAAATAAGCCACCTTTTGTGCAAAACTTAACGAACACAGAAGTGTAGTGGTCTCGCATCTGGAGCTTTAATCAAATGGTAGTATGTTTCATTAGAACAGTAAAACAAGGAAAAGCCATGGCCACTAAGTCCATCTCATCTACTGAATAAAAGTTAGAGTCCCCAGCCCATATGTTACAAGAAGAGCATTCCCAGGCATGTCCCAGCTCTTGTTTGCACTGCCCTGTTAACCAGGACAGATGAGTCCCCAGAAGGGGCGTTCCAGTTTCTGCTTGGCTCAGTACTTATCTGTATGACAATCTTACATGTACACTTCAGTGTTTTAGAAACCAAACTAATGGACTTGTTGTATACTATGGGTGCATTTTTTTTTTCCTCTCAGTAAGTTAATTCTTCTACCTAGAAGCACGGATTTGTCATAAGCACCTTTAGCATTGCAGACTTCGTGCATCAAAAGATGCGGGATAACAAAAGCAGCAATAATAAATGGAGGCATTGAAGAAATTTACCTTATTCTGTGGTTGCTGCCTTTTTTTTGACACTGTAACAGTGCAAACGGGAATCACACGTAAGTATACTTGGATTCTGAATAATGGACATGAGCCACCTCAGCTAGATCACCTATGAATGCATATGTTACCCTTTAACTGCATTTGTACTGGGTATTGATTAGACTGCACTTGTACTATTAAAATGGATGGGAATAAATCCAGGACATGAATTAGAGTTCAAAAACAAAGAATATGCACTATACTTGCACAAAAGTGCAACGCAGAGAAGGACGGCAGACCTTTGCATTACGGTGACTTGCTTTGGGCACTTGAACCATCTTGGTCACCTTCACAGTAGGACACAGAGTCTGCTGTAACCAGGAGGTGATGGTGCAATAGTTGTGGTGCTCCGCCTGTTTCTGAGCATAGCAGCACAGAGCGTGGCCCAGGAAGGATGTAATAGTTTTGAACGACAAACAGAACTACTTTAACCACTGCCTAATTATACAACTTAAAATTATCAGAAGTAAAATCTTCTGAATCTTCACTAAGAAAACTACAGAGAAATCAGCATCCCGCTTTAAGGAACTATATTTTATGATGCTTCCTTCATGACTGTTTCATGAAATCCATGTTTAAAGGACTGTGATCAAACCACGGAAATAGCATATAGAAATGGAGTTCACAAGTACCTTGGGAAGGAAACAGCATGATAATAATGGCAGTTACTATTTCCTGTATTAGAAAAATAAACATAGCTCTGAAACATAGCTTCAGTTTCAGTGGAGATTATGATCAAAATTGTTAAAAATCAGCAGCTGTATTTTGATTCAATAATTCAATGGAACAATTTAATTCAGACAATATTCCCTCAAATTCTGATAGTAAATAATGAAATAACTTTCTTCTTCCCTGCCTCCCTCTACTCCACATCTTGATGTGCACTACAAACTGATACGTTTTTAAAAAATTAAAAAAAGCTAGAGAATGGCTATGAAATAAAACTGAGTGTTAAAAAGCCACTTTCAACTGTTTTCTAAACATGAACCCACAGTAAAGCGATCACTGCTGTCAGCATGTGTAGAAATCAAACTATGATATTCTCCTAATCGTTTCAGTTTACATCAGAGGAAAAGAAGTAGTCCAGTCATCTAGAAAGTGTAGTGATTAAACAAGGCTGTAAAGACACAGGCTGAGTTCAAACAAAAGCAAGCACACTTCAGCTGGGTGTATGAAGTGTCCCTGACTTCACTGGCCCTCAGCAAATGGATGTGTAACTTCACAGCACTCTTCTGGGTGCTCATGTGGACTCACATGGACTCTGTTGCGAGCTACACCAGTATGTGGCTTAAGTAGGATGCTCACATGTTTAGAAAGCTATTTTCCTAGCTTCATTATTTTTCTTTTACTATCAAGGAAAACCGTACACACTAGCAGAGCAAGTTCACAGTCATTCACCCTTGTCTATCTTGTCTGTCTCAACCAAAAGTCACCCAGTGATATTTTGCTTGCTCCCAGTACTCAAACTAAATATCTAAGCTGACAAAGGGTTCTTCCACTAGGAGTTAACTCTGGTTTCAGCTCAGGCATCATTCTGAGACTGACAGCTACTCACTCACAAAATTCCTTCACCTGCATCTGGGCTGCTTTCAAGTCAAGCCAAGATCATCTGGACTGCACACAAAACTTGTCCTCTGCAGATAAATCACCAGAGTGTTGACAATGCGCTCAGCTCACCCACAGTTTCCCCCAAGTGCCTTGGACAACTAATGCATTTCCTCTTGACTGAAAAAGAATCAAAGCAACACAGCTAAGGGCAGGTCCAGGAGCCAGGGATACATCCCAGGATGTTACAACACATATAGAGAAGTACAACACCACTGAGGAGACAAAAACTTGGATATGTTTCATTTGGGAGGAGGGCTGAAAGGAGAAAGGAAAAGCAGGTAGTCTCAGAAATTCCTTATGGAGATTCATCAGAAAAAAAAAAAAAAACAAAAAAACAAAAAAACAAACAAAACAAACCCCAAAACCCCTAAAGATATAAAATTGTATGCAATCTTGCCTATGAGTAAAGTCATGGTGCAAACAAACAAACAAGAAAGGATACCAGACTACAGTCAGCAGAAGGCAACAGTGTTGTAGCACCTGTTCGGACAGAATTCTCCAAACCATGTAAGGAGCACAGGCAGCAGTGTTCCTCTTTGCATGGAAATAAATGGATGCACTGAGATTTATGCTTTTTGACTTGTTTACCAGGGCTGCCATTATCTTTAGGCTCATGCAAACTCTTCAGAAAGTTTAGTATTATAGCATTAAAATGTCAAAAATGCAATTAGATATTCATTAAGTAAATAAGGCAAATAAATTATGACAGAAATTAGAAAAAGGTATTAGTGATGAAAAGTAGCCCCTGAAATGGATTTGAATTCAATTGATATACGGTAATTTCAAGACAATGAAACCTTAAAAGCTCTACCAAAACAGCAGCCCATCATATTTAATATTACAGCAATAGATACAGTAACGGACACTTTTACATCACAATACATAGAGTTGTTAGCACATTAATAATCATCTTTCATCAAGCATAAAACTCGCAGTTAGGAAATACAGCTGCAATAGCATAATTACACTACTCTCAGCATATACCCTGAAGCAATGAAAACAAACGGGCTGCTTTTCATTAAGGGAGCTTGGCAAACATCTCTAAAGACAATGTTTTCTTTCCAGAAACAATCCCGAGAGGCGTTTAAGAGTCTTTTTCCTGAAGTAAACCTGGTACATGAATATATTCATACTACAAAATACAAACAGTAATTTTCCAGTACATAGCACTTTCTAATTTTTCAGTAAGACAATCTACGTCTAAGTCAAATATTAACAGTTTCTTTAAACTCTTGTTTTAAAGTAAAACATTAATCCTACATACATGTATGATTAGTTTAATTCAGAAGGATCACTTGTATGAGCAAAATTAAGCTGCTAGTATCAGAACTAGAATCATAAAAGACAAAAATGATTTGCAAGCACCAGATTCAAAATTGTCTTTTAGGAAAGATCCCTTTTTTAAGACAAAAGAAAGCAAAAGATATTCTAAAAGGGGTAACTCTTGGTTAAACATAGAAATGGGCACATTGAAATATTTTATGTGTGTTTTAGGCAATTATATATTCTGATTGTGTATTTTTAATGCATAAAGTCAACAGCAGAGATGGCATCTTCATTGGGTACATTTTTAGACCAAAAGTTTCTCCATCAGAAATTACACTTACCCTAGATGAGCTATAACCATATATTATACTTCATAAAAAAATAATTCCATGTAATCTCAATGTACAATTAGTTTACAGTTCCTTCTTAATATATAGTTACTCTGACACGAACATGTATGACATGACTGGTAGGGGTAGGTTCCCTAACCATAAACACCAATTGTTATTCCACAGCGAGGTCTAGCAGAGGAGACACAGCACTCATGGGAGTTCCACACCCTTCAGGAATGACAAGTAGAGTTGAGGTGACTTAGTAAGGCACCTGAAGTAGCACCAGACATCTATTCTCTTAGGCAACAGAATCTCACCTGATGCCACCACTGGATTTTGATTTAATCTCCTTAGCAATCATTTAAGGTAAACAAACAGAAACTACTAATTGGGGGAAAAGAGATCATGGAGGAGACTTAACTTTGGTATAGAAAATAATCCCACACTCTAGAGACCAAAAGAAATAAAGAACTCATACTAAAAGGCAGTAACATAGTCTTATTCCCAAGCAGCATTTTTCTGAAAGCACAAACTTCCATGAAATTCTGTAGTACAAAACTACCTACTGATTAGCGTAATTTCTCAGAATGCATATCGCTGCAAAAACAGGAAATCACATCTTTTCAGTACAGAAGGCCAGCAATAAACATGGTTAAGAGTCTTACAACAAAGTCAGGCTGCATCCTAAACACACTACAATATTCACAACCATTTTTACAGTTACTTTTTGCTTCAAGGGATTGCTTGTTACATACGTGTGGACTCAGTATACACTGTCTTTATTCATCATAGATTCTCAGCCTAATTTAAAATTTAGATTATACTGAAATCTTTCACAGAGGGAAGTTCAAAAGATAACAAGCATCCCCAAATCTCTCCCACCCTCCATCACAAGGGTACTTCACACTCCAGAACAGGTGCATTTTCTGTACAAGTTTCTCTCCAAGGTGTCCAAATGTTACTCTACATTTTGAAACATCATACATCTTGTTCAAATAATCTGATTTTTAGATATAAAAGAGTATAATGTATAAATATCCAGCAACAGTATAGGCTACCTACACAAATTAGACTGAAATTGGTTTGTATCAAAGCAAAGAGAAAAAATTCCTCAGACTGTCTAACACTTGGAAGTTATGAGAACAGCCCACCAACATGGTATGAAGGCTCATGAGCAGGACCCTGGCCATGCTAAACTCAGGCTGTGAACTAGAAATTGCTGCAATGGGAGGCAATGATGGGGAAACAAAGGGGATTTTCCTTTCTGGTTTGGAGTTTAACTGGTGAGTCGGTAGGCAATTACAAGCAATGTCAAGATAATTACGCCCCACTGCCTTCTGCTGAAAACTGGACATAAGCTCTGGGTAAAACCCCTTTTCCATGACATGGACTATGCAAGAAAGAATCTTAGAGTTATGTTAGCTTCATAGCAAATGAGGACTTTTCCTGCAGGACAGGATTCTTCAGAGGCGGAGTAAAATGAAACAGTTTATGAGCCCCCTTTTATTTTTGTCCTCAGTCAGGAGAGATTGAGCTTGAAATTTGTTTGTTTATTTGGTATGTTGTGATGTTTCAAGCTGCAGGTGTAAGAGTCTCCACAAGCTCTTTATGCACTTCAGGGTTCAGAAACTACTGTAGTCATGCACAGACAAGTTTGGTAGTCTGAGGTGAATTAAATCTTACACCTTCAGGTGCTTCTTTTCCAGCAGCTCTGGGGTAGCCACAGGCTAGATAGCATAATGCAGCACAACTTCTAATTCTGTACGTCATATGCACAAGCATTTCATGGACTGAGTCTATGACTTGTAATTGTTTCCAAACTGGATTGTTTCTCCAGGCAAACAGTGACTTTGCCACAAGCTGTTCATTCCTCACCTTCCTCCCAATGGTAACCCTTCCATCAGATCTCCTTCAGACAAATGTTATTTTTCTCCCATGCAAATAGGATCAGCCAATCACATAGTTATCGTGTTGCACAAAATAACTACAGGACAAAGATGTCTATGGGGATAACTGGAAAGTTAATGATTTTCTTTGTCTGTTTTCTCATTCCTCTACTGAACCTCAAATTGCAATGGGCAAAGCAACTTCATATGCAGGGGGGCAGGCATGACCAGGAAAATACAGTGCTGAGTGATTATTTTTAGATACCTGGAGAAACTCTGAACCCAGACTTCAGTCAGATATTGCACATATTCCATATTCAGAGATTACAAAGGATCAGCAAACACCACTAGTCAAGCAAAACAGTATTTCCCAGAACAGTTAAGGGTTAAAAAGTCTGAGTACAGGTGTGGGAACCCTCAGCATCCATGTACTCATATTCAGTCCAATAAGGTATTCTTAGAGAGTATGAGTTTTTAAAAACAGATGCAAAGGCAAAATAGTATTAATTCACTTGCGAGATTTTGGAGAGCAACATAAATCCCTAATTCAGCTAGATTTTATGATTCTTTAGGAATAAACCAAAACCAATCCCAGTTAGCACTTAAACACATACTGAAGTGCAGCCCTGAATAATGTCTTCCTTTGAAATATTCCTTAGTCACTGCACTCTACGTGCAGTTTTTGATCCCACTAGCCAGAAGCGCTTTAACCAGGAAACCAGTATTTAAATGAAAAGGCAGGACAAGGGTAACATTGTCAGACAATATTCGGACAAAATATGAGTATCTGCTTTTTACATACTTGAATGATCTCTTATTTATTATCATTGGGCAAACAAACTTATCTATATATTCCTTACCTTTAACATAGTGAATTCATATGGCTGATAACCTTTGAAACTTTCATGGATGGCTGCCATTGTGTGTGAAGTTTTTTCCCAAAAATGAAGAAGTGTTGCCTGTAAGGTAGGATAAAATTTCAATGCAATGTTAGCTTTAACACCAATTTGCTTTCAGTGAAAATTTACATCTCCCCTCCAATACTAGTTACATATTCTTACAGTTGAATACTGCCATGGTAACCTCTTAAAAAAACATATTAACAGGAAATCTTTCTTTTGGAGGTCAACATTTTCTTTGGATACCTGATATGTTGTTAACACGTGAGAAAGGAGGTTGCATCTGCTCGCTCCCAAAAGATCCACTTTTTGACAGACATCAGTCTTCAGTTTGTCAAAGTTGAGTTTTGCATGTCGCACTTGAGCTTGAACCTTCAAACAAAGGGAAAATTGTTTATGTAGTGAATTCTTTTCTCTATGTTTCATGAAAGAGCAAACTCATACAACTTCTAGGGAAATCAGACAACCAAACAGACTCGATTAAAGCTTATATAGAACTTTATTACAGTATCAATCCCACTGAAATTAAGATATGGTAGGCTGTTACATGCTAAAATATGGGTCTTACTATCTTCTGTGTTACTATTTTTCTAATATGTTCAGCGCAGAAATTCTGTTTTATAAGCCCTGTTTATAAGATGGATATTAGTATTAAATACATACTGAGAAGATAATAATTGGAAAACATACTAATTTTGTTATTGCTTTACAGAAATGCCAATTCAAAGCCTGACCAACAGATTTGGAACTAAAAGTTTATTACATAATATGCAGGCACACAGAGAGAGACATCTATAGAGACTCCTATAGTAGGAGACAAATTCCACCGACAAACTTTAAAGTCAATCTGCAACTCTTATTGACAATGCAGCACTTCAATAACTTCGAACTGCTACAAAAATTTTGGTCCTTTAAGTTTTCCTTCTAAAACATAGTGCTTTTCCTGTTTATTGCTATAGGAAAAATATCAGGACATCCTCTGTTAGGAGCAAACAATTTCATTTGCAGAGGGTTTTAGTTTTTCAAATCATTCTTCTACCACCTGTTAGGTACATACAAGACACACTCTGTTACCAAGCCGAACAAGTTTGGCAACAATACTGGCATCCTCACAACCAGGTATCAGGGTAGCAAGTTGATATCGGTGTTTTGTACACAGGATTAGCCATTTTTAAGACAGCTTTATACACTACCCTAGTACTGTGTTAACAAACCAAATCTGATTATAACAAAATCTGTGTAGAAAATTTAGTTTTCTCCCAAGGAAACAGGAAACAATCAAACCACAAAACATGATGATTTTCCTATAACTTTTTCAGAGTTACAATAAAGTATTTACCCAAAAAAGTCTGCACAGTGGAAAAAATCCAGTGAATGCAAACTAAATAAATTTCCCTTCCTTTACTGGACTAACTCAGAGAGCATATTGATTTTGTTCAGAATACACAGACTCAGTCAAACAAGATCTGACAAACTTGTATGCTCATCTTCAGGAGTGAATGTAGAACCTTGCAGCAAGTGCCTGCGCTCCTTGTGCAGTAAGGACAAATACATACTCGTAATGCAAACCAAAATGATATGGTTAACATATTTCTGACCGTATTTTCCCAAAGTCACTTAAGAGTATATGAGACTTCCAACCAGGCAGAAAACCAGCAAAAGATCTGTATCACAAATTCATCAGATGACCTACTCACACAAACTGTGGGACTCTGTGGTTGCCGGGTAAGTGGCAACTTTTTTTCACTGATCAGATCGGCTCTGCCTGGGTAATATATTAGGGTTGCACTTACCATAGGCCAGGTGTGTACATACTGAAGAAACTACCATAATTCAAAATTTCTGATAAATGCAGCATCTCACAGCTGAGATTTTAACTGTAGAAAAATATGATGCCTAGAAAAAAAAAGACTTTTTCTTTTTTTAAATAAAAAACCCTATCAGCGATACTTTATAAAATATCTTTGTGATTAGCACATTCACCTAAGAAGAAGTCTTCCAGGATAACTCCACATATTACATCAAGAAATCAGTGAGCAAATATGGAGTTCTGATAATAACAACTACATCTGAAACTTCTAACCTGATCCAGTACTCTAACCCCAAGACTACAACATCTTACTGATGTCTTGCTTTGCTGTTTTTGCACATTGAAGAGTTTCAAACCAAAGAGGGGTGTCCAGAGCTGGAAGAGTTACTGGGTAGTTATGAGATGTTTTGGTGAGGTGGAGACAGATTTGAATTCCCTCAGGAAGGATGAAATTGCTCCCATGGCTTCCATTCCTTAGGCAAGCATGACAAATGCTAAGCTATGATATAAAAAGCAAGGAGCAGGTACTGCTAAGGTACCTCCCTAATATGATATTTTGTGAAAAGCCTTACCCAGTTGAAACTACACTGGCATGAGCTGAGGTTGCCTCTTAGTTTGGGATCCTCGAGAGACCCTACACTACTTCTTTTAGCTTGTGCCTGGGTTGAAGCCTGAGCGAGGCACCATGCTATCCATGCCAGGAGTCTCATCCCATGCACAACTGTCTAGTCAGAAGAGCAGGTGGGTAAAGAGCTTATGGGCCTCCAAAATTAAGCAGCAAGGGAGGAGGATGGGAGAAGTGGCAGGAGGAGTGTGGAAGAATATCCTGTGCTGGATAAAACACCTTTGTCCCACATTAGGTCCTCAAATCCTTTACTTGCTTTAGCTACAAGTGACTGAGAGCACAGATTTACAACTTCAGTCCAAAAAGGAGGATTGTGAAGAAAATTATGGGTCTGTGCAAAAAAGAACTTCTAACTCAAATCCAAACATGAGATTACCTACATCTTTTACCAGCAAAAATTGCTACAAGATATTTAAGTAAGAGATCTTGTAGGGCTTTGAAAAATGTAGTGAGACAAGACTAAATTCTGATCTCAGTTACAGCTATGAAAATCCAGAGAAATTCAACTGATGTCAGTGGAAACATGTCACATATAAAACTGTATTTTACAATGCTGCAGCTGAGATATGAATCCCTTTCCTATTCAGTATATCATAGCACTGGTGAAAACACAGTAAGAACAGCTGTGGCTTTGTAGATGGATAGTCCAAGTGAGCAAAGAATGTTAGTTCTGGGAAAAATAAATACACTGTCAGAGATGGTGGATCACAAGAGAAAAAAAAAAAAAAAAAGAAAAGAAAAGAAGTACCACTAAATGTAATAATTATTAATTTCTACAACTGCAAGTCTGCACAAGGACTTTATAGAACAGACTGGGATTTGGGTCTACCTCGTGCCTCCAATTCCTTAAAAGAAGAATAAAAAAAATCCAGAGAACAAAAAGCCTGTAAAGTTTGGGTTGTCTTCCTGTACACAGTCTTCAAGGACATTTAGTAAGAAACAATGTCAGCATTTATCTTAACTGAACACATAATTAGTGTCTCCTTTAAAAGCTAGTGCATTCACAAAGAGAAAGAGGTGATCCACACCACCACATGGAATACAAGCCCGTATGTTTGACATGCTCATACAGATGATTCAAAATACTTAATGCTGTGTTACCAAATGCCACACATTTCTCTTGCTAACCAGGGAAGATGCGATATTATAAGAACTATTAAATTAAGGATGCTTTTAGGTTTTTTGATCTACTGAAAGTTTATTGAGCAGAAATACTCTCCATTTTGCAGCAGCAGTGCAGGACAGCCAAGAAAGAACACCACATACTACATCACGCCCTTTTCCCTTTTATGTGTGCCAGTAAATATATTTTCAATTCAAATTATTATTAGACATCTTTTAAGATTATTTGTGGCTTCGGGAATTAGGTATAAAACCTTAGTGCTTACAAAGCATAATCTACTTAATACCGCACAATTTATCAGAATGAACTTTTGGTTTTCTACTCAAGGGAAAGCTGAGGTAATACATACTAATCTTCTCCTTTCTCTGCATTTACTCTTTAAGACATGAGAAACAGGACCTCATTGCGGTCTCAGTCCTGCAAATTTTTATTCATACATGTGAACTTCATTAAAGCTGAACATACAAAACTTCTTCAAAATCCTGGTCTGAAAAGTGGCAGGATTTTACTGACTGTAAAACAACTGCACCAGTCTAAATGCAACTTGGACATTTTACAGTGGAGGAGCTCCTATGCATCTCAAACTGTAGGTGCTAGTTGTAAGGTTTATGCTGTAGAAGAAAATCTTATGGTACTATGACATAAAAAAACATTATTACTGTTCATCTTTTTCTCTTTCTAAGCAGCAACCTAGAGCAACCTGCTTTTAATTTCCCATTGCAAACATCTAAGTACAGTATTTATGGACTAGAATTCTTTAAAGAGAGCACATAAGAAAACATAAATTTGGAAAGCAGTATCTCATGAAGTCTATAACTTGATAAGCTGTAAGATGCCATATAAAGCTGAATTAATTTCAAAAGACTAAAATAAATAAATAAATAAATGTTAAAAACCTACGTCCTGGTGGCTTGAAAGTCTTGTTCTGGAATGCTTGATTGGAAGAGCAAATATTTGCTAACACAGGTTCCTAAACCTATATTCAAACAGAAAAGTCCCAAACTTCAAGAGTGCTAACATTTTAAAAATAATAAAAAAAAAAAAGTTTGGACCCAGGTAAAAACTCCTATTCAGTATGTTCAGTTACTAAAATATGTATTTGTCATGTATTTTCAAGGAATCTTTATGTCCTCTACAGTACATCCCTGTTATTACTTTCTTTTAGTCTACCGTAAAATGCAAAATTTATTTATTTTCAGTAGTATCCCAATTTCAGGGACAATTCAACTAGTGAAGCATCATCTCCAAAATTAACTTATGTCAGATAAATGCACTAACTCACTTTACATACAGTATATTTTTGTCTCAGCGTTTCCAACATAGAAGCAGAAACAGATGCTTCCAGTCTAATTTGTCACCCAACCTCTCACTTACTTGATCTGAAAAGCATGCACAGCGTGTGTATAGGCTGGAAGGAGGGGGGTAAGTAAATCAAGAGTGAAAAATGCCTGGAATATAGCAAACCTTCCTGTTGGGGGCTCTGGGTAAACGTTACCAGCAGATGGAAGGGGCACAAATCTCTGAATTAAATAAGTATAGCACCTTCTGGCATACCTGACTCTTGTAAAGATTGCAGGAAAATTAAATGCAAACTGAAGTAGGCTGTAGCTTGAGGACAAAGTATTTCATGTATAGCATATCTTACAGCATTTCTGCATATAGCACAGAAAGCATAAGGAACTAGATTCTCAGTTCCCACAAAACTGTAATAACTCCATAGCTTGAGTGGTGTTATGACAAGGAGCACCCATTACACTTTTACATGAGGATATATAAGCACCTACTGATTTTTTTTTCTTTCCTTTTTTTTAAAA